GCACCCTTTCAGCAGAAGGGAGCAGACAAGAAGACAAGACTCTAAAATTCTCTTGTACTGCTCGCCCCTGAGGGTCTTTTCAATAGGTTTTAAGAAACCAGTTCCATGAAAAGAAAAGCATCCCCAGAACATTATACTGAACGGATGCTTGACAGTACTTACTACAAAGTTCAAAAAGCTTTCAAAGCTTCTTCGGAATTTAAATCGCTTATCCTTTGAATTTAGCTCAACTTTCGTTTCATCGGAGAAGAGAACATTCTTCCAGTTTTCTACGGTGAAATTTTTGTAATAGTGAGCCCATTCAAGTCTCTTGGCTTTGTTGGCTTTGCTTATTGGCGGCTTAAACCTTCGTGAACAAGATTTGTAGCGTTGTTCTAACAGCCACCGACGGACTGTTGAAGAGGCAAGACTAACACCTTGCTCTTCGTTTAGACTGGCTGCAATTTCTTGGCTAGTTATATTCCTATTCTTCGCAACTTCTCTCTTGATTACCCTGCCAGTTCTATCATCAATCTTTTTCTTTCGTCCCCTTGTTTCCTTCCATGGAGCATGAGTGGCATTATTATGTGCCCTAAGGACTCGAGAGACAGTTGATTACGAGGTTATAGCAATTTCTGGAATTGCTCTCGTAGACTTGCCTGCTTTTGAGAAGACAATAATAGATGCCGTAAGTGTTTCTGAGTGGCTATTTCAAGCTGTTTTTTATACTGTATGAGGCTTTCTGGAATATTCTGGAATACTCTAGATTTAATTTAAGCTGTTCTAGAATACTCTAGAATATTGTTCTGAGTGTATTGTAAAAATCTATTTCCATACCTGGGGATGTCTGTAGGAACAGACGAAAGCTTGTAAAAACTAAAAAAGACTTTATGAAACTGGAATTTATAAACAGGGATCATATCATTCATATACAGGTTCGGGGTTAGTGTACCTTATTGAAATTGTTTGCGAAGATGTATTCTCGCCATTTAAATCATTAACCTCTATATTTGTTTTTTGTATGAATGATTCATGTAATTATATATATATATATATATATATATATATATATATATATATATATATATATATATATATACAGTAGCGTCCAAAACTAAGGGACAAAAAATTTTAAAACCTAATATTTGTTAGAAATAACAACTGTGAAAAGCTGAAATTTTGACAACTGGTAGTCGTTATCATCCATAATAACATACTAAAATTTGAATCATTTGCAAAGGATAGAAAAAGAATTATAACAATTATTTATTTATTTTCAAATTTGGAACGTCCAAAAGTAAGGGACAAAATTGAGAAAAACAATGTAAACGGCAAAAAAACAATAAAAATACATGTACAATCAATATTTAGTAAATGAGCCCTTGCTCTCAATGACAGCTGCACATCGACTACAAGAACGAATCAGTTCTTGACAATCCTCGATACTAATTTTAGACCATTCTTCTTGAAGCTTCACCCACAAATCCTCCGTGTTAGTGGGACACGTTTTTCCATAACTTTCACTCCTAAGGTCTTCCAAAGATTTTCTATTGGATTTAAGTCAGGACTTTGCGGTGGCCAATCCATAATTTCCAAATCTTGCTCGCTAAGGTAACTCATTACCAGCTTTGCCTTGTGACATGGGGCATTATCTTGCATAAAGGTAAACCTGAATTCTGTATGATTGGCACAACATGATCTTGAACAATGTTTTTATAGATCTGCGCGTTTACACTAGTTTGTAACCGGACAAAGAGGCGTTGTACCTTGGATAGAAAAACATTCCAAATACCTTGACAGTTTTCTTAGTACACTTTATACTTAATCTTTCACCAATACGTCTCTTTACATTTTTTTTCCATCATTTCCAAATAAATTAAACTTGCTTTCATCACTGAAAATACTTTTGCCCAATTTTCATATGTCGAAATTACATACCTGTTTGCAAACTCTAATCTTCTTCTTATTCTTCGAACTAACAAGTGGTTTCTTCCCTGGGGTTCGATTAAACAGCCCTATTTCTTGCAGTCGTGTACAAACAGTATGTCTTGACACATTAACACATGAGGTACTATTCATAACCCTTTTAATTTCTGTGCAAGACTTAAAACGGTCCTTTAATGACATACGCTGCATTATTCGATCTTCTCTTGCCGAAGTTTTACAGGGGTCTGCCGGTTTTAAAAGCACTAACTATTTTGCCAGTATCATTGTAGGATTTAACAACCCTGCCTACAACACTCTTGTAACGTTTCACTTTCTCTGAAATCTCTCTAATGGTGTGCTTTTCCTTGTGTAGCTTCACAATAGCTTGTCTCACAGAGTAATCAAGTTTTGGCGTTTCGCCATGGTGCCGGCTGATGCAACGTTTACAAATGACTAAGTAAGACTTATTCTTTAGAGGAAATCAAAAAAATTGAATATAGCATACTGTTTACATTGTTTTTTCTCAATTTTGTCCCTTACTTTTGGACGATCCTATTTTGAAAATAAATAAATAATTGTTATAATTCTTTTCTATCCTTTGCAAATGATTCAAATTTTAGTATGTTATTATGGATGATAACGACTACCAGTTGTCAAAATTTCAGCTTTTCACAGTTGTTATTTCTAACAAATATTAGGTTTTAAAATTTTGTCCCTTAGTTTTGGACGCTACTGTGTATATATATATATATATATATATATATATATATATATATATATATCATCATATCATCATCATCATCATCCTGTTTTCGTATGGCGTTTTAACGTCTTTAAAATCCTTACACGCTAGCATTAAATTTCCAAGAGAATACATGCTTCGTTCATTTTGCAATGATAGATTCGTTAAAATAAAACTTTTTAAAAGGTTTTAATCAGTGTCGATAGTTAAAGCAACACTATTTTTTTAAAATAAAAATAGATTTAAAATTCAGAAAATGTGATTCAAACGAAATATATCATGTTGCTTCATGTCACGAATCGATTATGGGTGACCCACTGAAAAGCCTTCTTTTCAATTCGATAATTTTTTTTGTATTTCACTGACTTTATGCTTAACAGTTAAAATTTAAAATGACATTCATACCTTTACTTTTCAAAATCATTTAATTTTTATACTAACCTTAACCAAATAGAACATATGTGAATAGAAAGACTGTATTGTAATCTTCCAAATAAGGAAGGTCTGGTTACCTTGAAAATCCTGAATTTTACTGGCACATGTGGAAAATACAAACTATTTTAGCTACAAAGCAAACTTTATGTTTCATAATTGACTCATAAACAGTAGCAATTTTTAAAAAAAAGTTATAAAACCATTAATTTCTTGATACATTTGCAATATTTGAAGATAAACTTTTCATCCCGAAATATGAGGGAAAAATAGGTACAATGTAACCCGGATATAAGAGAGTTGTCGGGACCGGAGACGAAGTCTCTTATATCCGGGTTTCTCTTATATCCGGGTTTGGTCTATTTTATATACATTAACACAGGCTCTAATTTGGGACCAGAGAAAATCTCTCTTATATCCGGGTTACACTGTATATGTTTATCTCAAGGAAGCCACGTAAGCTAAGCAATTGTAATCCCACTTACGCTTAGGATTCTCCCGTTTAACATGGTAATTATTGCGTTATTCCGTTCGTCTAAGTATAGCTCTCTAAATGAATAGTTTTTCCATTGACAACATCTAAGTGTCGCAGCTCCGCTTAAATTTGTGCTATTTACACTTTTTCACGACTGAGTTTAACGATTATTGTCTGTTAAGCAAAAATTTACACAGTTTATAAATTTCATGTTGGGGTATCTCAATTTATCTATAAATAATTTGCAGTTAGACGGATTCTAAAAATAAGCAGATACGCGTTAAGTCATAAAATGTGCCCCCCACACCAAAAAAAAAAAAAAAAAAAAAAAAATTCCAGATCTATTTTGTTCAAAAATTTGCGAAGCCGGAAAATGCTTACAAATTAAGTCCGTATGATCTGTATATATATACTCTGAAACTGATGTCCTCTTTGCTCACTTCCTGCTGAAGTAATGAATATCACGACACTTACTTTACGTCTGGTTATTGCAAAATGTAGCGTTCCACTCACTCAACAGAGTTTAAAAGAAATATTTTTTTTACACACTCTTCCTCTTTTAGAGCGTGTTTCGCCTCTGAAACTTATGTATAGTATATATGTGTAAAACCTAATTTTTCCAGGTTTTCCAACCTCTGTATCCATTTGGCGATTCTATGAAGTGGGTATATAGACTAGGTGTCCACGGCCAACGTGTTGTCCTGCTTTCGCTTTTATACGCTGTGTAAGGGTAACTTATATATATTTTAATAATCTTAGATTGCCAAAAAAAAAAAAAAAATCCGCAAATGCCTAAGCCACACTTAATTCTCGAAAAGTTTGTGTCCTGATTGTTGGCAGTGGAGATTATTTGTGAACTATCTTGTTTCTACCACCACTACTACTATGCGAAAACTGTTTCGATTTTTTTAAACTAAAGTTCACCCAATCCGAGCCCCTAATATGGCACGAAACACATATCACAACACACCAATTGACAAATGGCAGGGGACACAACAAACAATAAGCAACCGACCAGAGACTTCTTTTGAAAAATACAAGACGCTTGAGCTTGGTTTCTAGAAAAAAAAATTAGTTTTGCTTGATCCAATTTGAAGTTGGTGGACGTAGCAGATAACACATTACGTGTTCGTTCAGATAGAATAATTAATCAAATCAAATGGTTCTATTTAAAAACCCCTAAATCTGGAAAATCGTGTTTAATCCGAAGATAAATAGAAAGTGACCCGGCAACCCGAAAAAAGTCAGTAGTAGATAATTCACTTGCGTCAAAATGACTGTCTGGTACTGCGGCAACTTTAAAGAAACTTGTTTGACTGCTACTAACAGAAAAAAAATACCTGTTACTGACGCAGACATTAGCAGCTAAAACTAAATTCATTCTTAACGTATGTACAAACTTCATCTTCTTTACTGCCATATACTCTCTTTCACTGGTTTACGTAGATATCATGATGAAACATTGGTTCCCGTACGATTACCGAAGTTAAGCAACCTCGAGCTCGGTCAGTACATAGATGGGTGACAACTTGGGCATACCAAGTGCTGTAAGCTTTGTTGAATAGGTAGTGTAATGTGATAGATAACAGCTCGGAATTGTTAATCGGAGAGCCGGGTTCCAATTCCAGTTGGATTCGTTTCACTTACGCGCAAATACATTTGGGAAAGGTATGAATAAACATTCCCCATCCCAGATATGGATTAATTATTAAGACTTGTATCACTAAATCATTATTACCCCCCAAAAAAAATTTTTATAATCTAAAAATATTTTCTGGCTTTAAATAATCTGCAAGTGGTTAATAAGCGGTAAAAAGCAAATCAATCTCTCTTTCACACACACACAAATATTTAGAAAATACTTTTAATCGACCTAAAGTCAAATTTAAAATTGTGAACTTTAAATAAGAATTCTTAAGAACCTTTTGATAGGGTTCAGAAACCCATTTGAGAAATATTGTTTTATTGTTGATACATAAACGTTTACCGTTGCTATGTACCGTATAAACAACTTCGATTTCTCATTCATTGTTTTTATTATTGTAAAAGAAAACTTTATTCCATATGCTGTTGTTAGTTTTTTCCTTCAGGAAGATTACCACTAATCTTACTCTGACCTATAGGAACTTTGATCGAACCCCGGCCCTTGTATATATTTTATCCTCTGTCTGATTTGTTTTTTGTTTTGCTTCAATATAAATCGATCACTAACATTTAGCGTAACACAATTCATAAAGTATAATTTATATGATATTACGGTGACTTCGTTCTGTTTTTTATTTTTATTTTTTTATTTTTATTTTTTATTTTTTTTTTTTTTTGTCAGTAGGGTTGCTAGGGACTAAGTTATTAATTGGGGTGCATTTGAAATCACAGCTCTACTAATTTTTTAATTTTCTTCTTATTTGTAGTCCCAATTGGCCTAAATAAATGCATAAAAAAAGGAAAAAGAAGCACTAGAAATCAAAATTTAGTAGCAGTGACTGGATTTTAAAAAGTAGTTAAAACTGGCAATCCTACTTCGGAAAGAAATTAGGGGAAAAAAAACCCGCAAAACGATTTGTTTCTGTCGAAGACATTGTTATGGGCGCGTGTTCATTGGCGCATATATCTTTTGTATTATTAATGATTCAAGAAAACAACGAAACTCCAAATGTGAATCAATAAGTATATATTGAAATAACATGCAAGAACAAAATATACAATAATTTGTATTCAATGTATAGATTAATGGAAAAGATGTTGCTTCCATTTTATCGTATTTTGATTTGTAATTGATTGTTCGAAAGTTATCTTGAGAGAGAAATGTTCAGGAATCAATGTTAGAACATGTCTGCTGTTAGAATAGATAACACAAGAATACAACTGATCAGAAAGTGTGTTGTGTTAGAGAAATCAACAGAGTCCAGGTTGATTGAACTTGGCTTTTCCCGCGTTTTCGCTTGGAGCCTACCGGTACCTTTAAAAGAAGCGATTTTGACACAAGCCGCTATTTCGCTTGTCCACACAAATCTACGACTTTACTCACATTTCAAACGCACACACAGACACAGATTTTCGTAACACATTATACATATCTCTCTCTGTGACTCAGCCAAGTTCATGAACCAGCATTCTATTAATTTTTCTAAACAATTCTGTATTCTATTCTAACAGCAGACTCTATTCAACATAGAATCCTGAACATTCTTATTCAAGAAAAACTATTTCGAACATTCAATCATAAATCAGAATACAGTTGAAGGGGAACAACTGTTTTCTCCTTAATCATTACACTTCATTGTATGATTGTTTTGTATGTTATATTTCAATATATATTTATTTGTTGATCCACAAGTGGAGTTTCGTTGTTTTTTTGAATCGTTAAATGTACAATAGATATATGCGCTAAGAACACGCATCACAGGGTTATAAATCAACACGAGGAAAGAAAGAGCTGACATATTCAACACCAAGTATAAAACATTCCTTTCTGTGTCTTCCTAAGAAGAATTTAAAGCAAACGAACATTCAAGTTTCAGTAAAGTACTACAAAAAGCCCTCGAGACAACAACCTGTAAGAATCGCAAAACCCCTTCGTGCTGTGACGTCCCTCTTGAGTATTCAGTTGAAGAACTGAAGTGGATGCGCTTTGTATTTTCTGCCATGTGCAATTATTTTTACTTCCTCAAAGTTTTTTTTTCTTTTTTTTCCATTTTTAAAGGGTGTAATCTTTTTGTCATTGAATTTGTGCCTTTTTCTAAAAACTGTGACACTTTTTTCCTTGTATCTGATGTGTACTGATAAATCATCAGTTATCTCCCTTTAAGATCTAGGGGTATAAAAATCACCCTGTAATAACCGTCAATAGCCGAGTAGTCAGAGTAAAGTGCAATAAAGCTTTGGTATAAGTTTATTCACTGGTTCTGTTTTTATTACAGGATGGTAATCGCCTCCTCCCCCTTTTTTTTTTGTAACGTCAGAAATTTATTATTCTGCCGTTAATAGACGCACAAAAGAATATTCTTTGTATTTGTACTTTTTTTTTCGTAATTTCGTAATGTTTTTCCTTTTAAGATTTTATTTTTACGTAATAGTTAACTTGTTTTGTAATTTAGCGCCTATTATGTTTTGCTATTACTAGAGTCTCTAGACTAAGTTTTTGTGTCTGCGATAAGAACTTGGATTTGGTAGAGAACTAAAATTTTATAGTATAGATTTTGGTAGAGAACTAAAATTTTATACACGCGACCTGTATTGATTAGCTGACATTGATCAATATCAAATATAGGAAAAGGAACTCCGAATAGCCATAGCGTTTCAAATTTTGGGTGGAGTTCGATGTAACATGTTGACAATAAAAACAACAGCAAGACTAGGAAAGCAACCAGACGAATTTCCCTCGATTTTTTTTCGGCGTTTTGCCCGTAAAAGTTCATTTCTGACATTAATATTGTGTTCCCAAAACTTTTGCTAGCACACTAGTTTTTTTTTCAACGAGTTTACCAGCATTTAAATCGTTTTAGTTGTTACAACAGAGGGGCATTTCTCTTTAAATCTACATTTTCTTTTCTTCATTATCAAAATTTAGACCATGCATTGTGATCGATATAAGTTCTCCAACTCGTCATAACACAATCATTTGCTGACGCAAACGTGATAGGCTTGCTATTGTTGCATCCACCGATTCTATGAAATTGTTGGGTGTTCAACTCACGTTCTAAAAACAATACAAGATTTATCCATACAATTTAACATTTACGAACTGGAACAATATGTGTATTAATGCGTGCGTAAATTGTATGTGTTTGCTGGAATGTTTGATGTCTCTGTGTCGTTATGTTTGCTATTTTCTTGTTTGTATCAAATATTGAAGTAATAAGATTTAAAAGTTTTTGGCAAAAGTTTGTCAAAGTAGTCTACCTTTGAACGTGTTTGTATTTGTATCGTATTTCGTATTTCCTATTTTTGTAATGATTATAAATCAATATGTATAAGAAATTTAGTGGAAAGTTTCGAGAGTCGTTCGTTGAATGTTCAAAGTGAGTCAGTGAGTGTTCTTTGAAAAGCGCGGCAAGATTGTGTTTCCAAACGTCGTGGAGTATTTAGGCAATTGCTCGGTGAATTTGCTAGACTGACTGCATGGGGTTGGTAATTTTCTTTATCGTCTGGTCAGCGATGACTAAGACGGGAGTCGGTGAAATGTTACATCTTGAAGGTTGGTAATTACAGCTACTCTGCTGCTCCGCTTCCACTGAATGGGGCTGTCTGCTTTTCCTTTATATAATATTTGGGTTTCCAAAAGTGGCTCAACTCGTTTTTGGCGCAATTCCTGTTTCAGAAAACGATTGACCAATGGAATTGCTTGATTCGATTCTCGCCATTTCTATTGGCTGAGGTTTATTTTGTACGTAGGCGTACGATGTGGACTGTGCCTTTTTTAGGTTAGAAAAGGTGAGGATATTGGAAGAGTCCACAAAATCATCACAGAAGAATAAATTAATTACTGCAAATTAGTCGGTTTAAAATAACTGATAAAAAATCTTCTTAACCCATTTTATAAATATTGTCTGAAATTTTTAAGTGAATAATTATTATTTCACAAGTTGTTCGCATTATTAATGTAACCTTTGTTGATTTTATCCTTATATTTTGTATTATACATTGAGTCTACGAATAGCAGTATTAGTCCAAACAACTCGCATAATTAATTTTATTTTGTGTACTGAAATAGGTACCTCCATTTGCTGAAAAAAAACAGTCATGATGAAAAAAGGCCCTTAACTTAATAAAAACAAAGCTTTATCGTCAAGATGTTTGTTATTATCAAGAAGAAAGACCAAAGTATTTTTGATATTTTATTAAATTTTTTAATCTTTTCAAACGTGTTCAAAATTTTAGTTAAAAATCTTGTTTTATGGGGTTTGGGGTTTTTTTTTACGTCAACGGCCAACGTAATATTTACGATTCTTGTTTTTGCGTCTTTTTCAGGTGAAAAACACATTGATTTCGAAATTCTTGCAAAAATCAATTGTCAGATTTTAATGAAATTTTCAAAAATTATTCACACATGAATGAAATTATTTTTGAATTTTTTTAAGTCTTGGTAAAAAATATATTCTTTTTTTATCCCCACTCATCTCCACTTGGTTAATTTCATCAAATTTCAAGAAATTAAATTGCAATTTGTTTTATTAGTTAAACGCAGGACTTCTTGGAAAATTTAAATCATTTTTTTTTTTTTTTTTGGTATACACATTTTATCGAAAATCTGCTCTGAATCGTAAAATAAAAACACAATTAATAAAACTATGACATTACTTAATTAGAAAAGCTTAATAAAATCCGTTTAACCCAATATCTTAAAGATAATTAAACAAAATATTTTAGCATAGAAACATACCCATTTATGTAAATATGGATGCCCGTCACGTATTTTAAGAGTTGTCCTGTCTGAAAAATCTGTCCGTCTGCAATTCTTTCATTTTCATTTCTGTGTTTCATCGTGTCTACGTCTCAACTTTGCTTTGCAAATCATCTCTTCAAAATTTTAAACTTTAGAATAATTTTTTA